CCCATTATACTTTAAATATAATAAGGAACCCCCAAAATAGTAATAAAAAAGGCCTCTATATTAAACCCTAAACTCCAGGACCGAGACTCTGTACCCCTAAACCCGAACCCCGCCGCGGCAAAGTGGCACCGAAGCTTTCCAAAAGCTGTCCTTTTTTGGCATCAGCCTCTGCAATACCTGGACTAGCGGCTAGGGTTTAGGGTTTAGGGTTTAGGGTTTAGGGCTTTGGGTTTAGGGCTTAGGGCATCAGCCTCTGCAATACCTGGGCTAGGGCCGCTAGGGTTCCCAAAGACTCCGAAACCCTCTAAATGAGGAATAGACCTTAAATTAAATTAAATTTGACAGAATCCCTAAAATGGTTGGAAGTACATCCTTAATCAAGGGGTTTGGGAGTTGCTTCAGGGTTTAGGGCTTGGGGCTTTTCCGGTTTAGGGGTGCCATGCTTTTGGGTAACAGGCTTGGGATTTAGGGTTTGTGCGTTTTGGGTTTAAGCTTCAGGCTCCAAGGTTTCACGGCCGTACTGTAGGGGCCTAAGTAATTACCAATACTACTTTGGGATTCCTTGTTGTAATCGTAGGTTTAGGGTTTAGGGTTTCGGGTTTAGGGACGATTATAGTATAATGGACCACAAAACCCTATTCTAATTATTAAGGCACCTATAGTATAGACTTTCCCACAGGCAGGTGCTCGGAGCAAAACGTAGATGGGTGCAGTCTTCCCAGAGACTCCACAACCCCTTAATTAAGGGACATACCTCGAATTCTAATAGGATCCCGAATATGACTTAAGGTATATTCCCTAGAGACTCTCAAGCCCCTCAAGTAAGGACTATACCCTAAATTATATTAGGGATCCTATTGTCATTCAAGGTCTCTTCCTTAATTAAGGGGTTTTGGAGTCTCTGGGATCAATCCTCCTGACCTTCTCTGCGACCTTGCAGGTGGGAAAAAATTGGCTCCCAAAAGCACGAAGCTCACCTTCCCAGACGACCCAATACACCTTAATTAAGGAATATACCATAAGATATAGGGACCTTAATATTATGCCTAAACCCTAAACCCTAAACCCTAAACCCTAATTCCTTAATTAAGGAGTATTGGGCTCTCTGGGTTCGCTCTGTTGCAACAGAAATACTCCACGTTTGGATCCTCGCGGCCAGAATGCTCGTTTGACCCCTCGCACTTAGGGTGTTTAGGGTTTAGGGTTTAGGGTTTAGGGTTTAGGGTTTAGGGTTCAGAGTACAAGATGCTATCGAATGCAGGAACATCGAAGCAAGTGAGATTTAGCTTCTCTGAGGCTTCTCCATCTGCCTTCCTCAAAGCAGTTAAACAGCAAGGGAGGGATCTTCCCGAGCGGCAGTGCTTCAAGAGCAACATCGTGCAGCGTGAAGTTCGTGATGCCCATCTTTGACCCAGCGCTTTGGAAGGTAAAGATGAAACCCTAAAGTCTAATGGCCCTAAGTTGGTTTAGGGTTTAGGGTTTAGGGTTTAGGGTTTAGGGTTTAGGGTAAGATTAAAAACCAAAAATTAAAACCCTTTTCCCTAAACTGCACCCCAAAAAACTGCTTTAGGACTGCCTTAGGTCTGCAAGTATTATCCTTGAGCCGTAGCCGATCTTGGGTTCAGAGCTTATAGGGTTCAGAGGGGTAAACCCTAATTAGTTCAGGGTTTAGGGTTTGAGGTTTAGGGCCCCTGTACCCAAATCGTATCTACTTTAGCCTCAGTAGTGCCCATGGGGCCAAAGTATCTACTATTTGGGTACATGGACTTTTCGGGTAATTCGAAACCCTAAACCCTAAACCCTAAACGGAAACCTTGACTCCAGGATTTGAGAGTTTCGGGCTTCCAGGTTCAGGGAGTTCCTGGTGGGCGGTGTGACATACGCCAACACGAAAGAGCCTAAGAAACCCTTCAAAACAACCCATTAAGGTAATCCGACAAAGGAATTCGAAACTATCCCAAGGAACCACCAAACACTCTAAACCCAAACCCTAAACCCTAAAGGAACCCTCTTCAGAGGGTTCCTTACATGATCAGATCCCGAGCAGCTTGAGCTCCGTAGTTCGGCAGTTTCGACACGAACTGGTCGTAGGCAGCGAAGAGCGACTGAGCCTGCAAAAAAAGACTACCCCAACAAGGGTTTAGGGTTTCCGGCTTACTAAACCCTAACCACCTAAACCCCGAAACCCTGTTTGGGGGGTTCCTTTACAACTTTAAGGGGCTCTCCCATTAGGGTGGTCCCCGATCCAACAGAGGGGCCTTAATGGTTAGAATACCCCTAAGGTTCCATGTGCCATATACTCTGGCCTCCAATTACCTATATAGGGACTACTTTAAGGCCAAAGTATCTACTATTTGGGCACATGGACCCTTAGGGTAGGGTTCTCTTCAGGTTCCTTGTGAGGGTTTACTATAAGGGATGCTATAAAGGTTGCAGTATAGGTGCCTTTTTGGTTAGAATACGGTCTTGGGACATTTGATACTGTAGCCGCGATAAGAAGCCTTCTCAGGAATAGTATAACTAGTACTTATGACAAGCTATTCCGTTTCTGTAGCAGCTACAGTTTCGGGTCCATGGTTTAGGGCTCAGAGTTTAGTGCTTGTGGCACGTGTTAGGGCTTCGGGTTTAGAGTTTAGGGTTTACGGTCTCGGGTGGAGGGCTTTCTTCCCTCCCTCACTCAATGTGGGGCAACACATCATTATTTTCGTGTCCTTGGGGTATACGCTGAGGCGTAAACTTGCCCTAAAGCCCTACCTTAAACTGCGATACCCTACTTTTTTGCAGGTTCCTATTGTAAGCCCCACTGTATAGCTCATAAGGACCCTACAAAAAAGTAGGTTTGGTAGTTCAAGCTATATAGCATACTCACATGGTCCTGACAGGTCGTGGGCTTTATTACGGGTTTAGGGGTTTAGGTCTACGGTTAGTCAGGGTTTTGGATTTACGGTCTGGTTTTTTTTGTACATAGGGTTATTCAGAGTTTGGTTAATACATGTTAGAAACACCGCCGATATTAAGCAAGCCGTGACCAATGAAACATAGCCCTGAACCCCAAATGCCAAATCTCAACCCTAAACCCTAAACCTTATGACCTAAGCCCTAAAGCAGGCAAGCAGCAACGGGAACCATCGATGGGCGAATGAAGTAGGCGGCTGCAGAGGGAACCTGCACTTAAACTTTATAGGGATTTAGAGTTCGGAAGTGCACCAGTGCATGGTCTCTGGGCCCCAAAATGCCTTAAACCCTAAACCCTAAACCCTAAACCCTAAACCCTAAACCCTTGGGGTCGGATTTTAGGGAATCCTCTGGTTCAACGTAGAGTAGAGACAAAACTCGGACCCTGCCCAGTCGAAACCTCGTAATGTAGGGTTTAGGGTTTAGGGTTTAGGGTTTAGGGCCTTAATACTTAGAATGGGGTTATTTGGGGCGGATTTTACTATAGGTATACTCAGGAACCCGCCACAATAGTGTTTGGTAATTATCTAGACCCCCCACCCTAAACCCTAAACCCTAAACCCTACCCCTACAGTATGCGAATGACCTGTGCTTTACATCTGGGAACCCCGAGCACGGAACCTCTAAACCCTGCCACTCCTGGAAGTACCGTTTTAGGGTTCCTTAAAGGGTTTCTTCAAGGGCTTCTTTAAGGGCTTCTATAGAGTTTCTATATAAAGGTACTATCAGGGCAGTTCTCTAAATTAGGAATTTCACCGTTACCTGTTTTTGAAGGCAAACAATATTCAGGGTTTATGTAAGGAAGTTTAGGGCTTAAATAGGTTTTGACATGTTGGATGTCGTACTGGAGCCCATATAGCGAGCTACCGGCTCCCGGGAGATGGCAGTAGAAGTTACAACCCAAATGTATGTTCACCAAGGTTCTCCCTAAAGCCCTGCCGGTACGAACCACGACCTCTCATGCTCCCGACGCCTCATACAGCATCAACTCGGCACTGTCTGAACCCGATAAGACATGCTACAACCACCTTCGAAAAACATTACACTGCTCAGCAACCACGTATGTAAACATCCTTCAGAGCATGCGTAGACCAGTCAACTTTCCCATCAAGGAGTGCAAACCAGATTAGATTTTAGGGTTCGGAGTGTGTCACAGCACTGCGCGCGCTACCATGACGGAAGAGCGTCGTGGCGTACACAGTCGCACTACCCAAATTCAGCACTAAACCCTAAAGGAAAACAACTACATCAACAACAACAACAACAACAACAACAACAACAACAACAACAACAACAACCACGACGACGACGACGACGACGACGACGACGACGACGACGACGACGACGACGACGACGTCTTGAAGAACAA